GCATATAGTATAAATATATGTGTATATATACGTAGTCACAAGTCTTTTATGGCCGACAACATCATTAGTTAGTGTGTGTTCTCGCTCTAGAAACGCCGCTGAGCAGTTGTGACCCAGTTAGTGCCATAAATTAGCACAAGCCTCCGACTGCCAGTTACTGCAGCAGACAACTTAGAACGTCTGTGTGCATTTATTAAATGCAAGTACGCATACGAATGCGGGTCTGAGTATCTCAGTATCTCAGTATCTCTTAGATACTGGCACGCACTGCAGCTCATGTCGCCTTAGTTTGGCCTGGCAGCCAAAGCTGTTTGTATACCCTGTAAGCAGACAAAGAAGACAAGTTTTATAACACATTTCAGAATATATTTATATATATATATATAGTGATAGTCGCTTATCCTCAAGATAAAGTAGTTAGGTGTCGAAAATTAAGTTAGGTGAATAACGCTCTCCTCTGTCAATATATATTGACTAACTCCAACATTTACTATTTAAACTAGGCTGCTTATATATTTGGCAAGTCTTTACGGAATATTATATACTATATACCTCTATAGAAAGATTTGGTCGAGATAAATAAAACGTAAGAATTGGTCGATAAATAAGTTTTTGTTTTTGGCAAAAAAAACTCAACATTTACGAGCTTCAGTACATTCACATATCTAAAAAACCGAAAGGCAAATGTATGCAAGGGTATTAGATCTTCGGCGTGCTGAATATATCCTAACCTTCTCGTTTTTTTTTTTTTGTACAAACCAGTTGTTTTTGCATAAATAATATACTATCTAAATTGAATTTATATCAATTTGCACAAAGTATTAAAATGATTGTTATTAAATAAAACCATCTACAAATGTTGTTCTCTTTGAATTTGACAGTAATCAACAATTTGTCAGGATTGCTTTGAGTACGTGATTTAATTAGCATCAAACGAGTTTATGTCTACAACTGATAATTACTGAGTATAATTTGTAGTAAACTAAATTATTTAATTGAGCATGTCTGCTTACAGGGTAACTCGTAGTTACGTCTTTAAATCTTAAGCATTTTTACTTGTCTCAATTGGGTCAGTCGTGAGAGATAAAAAGTAACAAAAAAAAAAGAAAAAAGTAAAAACCTGACTATTAAAAAGCCATTAACTATTGTTCAATATTAAGTTATTTCATAGCATTAATTAGTCTACAGAGGCTGCCAGCGATTGAAATCGCTACCCTGGCACAAACACACATACACACACACAAACACAAACACTCACACACAAATACACACACACAGGCACACGTACACACTGCACATGGGGCTTAATTGATTGGAGAAAGTGACGTACATGATTTGGCTGACCGTTCGGCTCGGTTCGGTTTCGGCTTTGCCTGGGAAAATGTCTTCATCTTTGGCAGCGATGGCAAAGTGCACGAGCAGGCCAAGAGCCTAGCTGCAACTGCCAATTGCAACACCCCAAAGCAACAACAACAACAACAACAGCAGCAGCAGCAGCTAATCAAGCGAAACATTGTAAATGTGCGAGATAAAATTCATTTGATATATATGTATGCAATAACGCCTTGTAACGGCACGAAAAAAAAAACCGATTACAGCAATTGCAGCAATACAAATTTGAATTGAAAAACATTCGAGTGAAAAACAGTTGCTGGGCATATTGATTATCATGTCGTAAATGCAACGGTCAAGAAATTAGCCCAGACACGGCCATTAACACAAAAATGTATCTTCAAAAAAATATGATTTAGCAATCTAATCGACTTAATGCCACAAAGCAGATAATATCTGTTCAAAAACTAATATTCCTGTAGCAAGCAATTAAAATCCAATAATTATAAGAGATATTAGGAACGCGAAAGTAAGGCAGATATTTGCCTTTTGCAGCTGTTCATGCAATGTACTACTTTTCGACCAATCGTTTCTATGGCAGCTATATGATATAGTAGTCCGATCCGCCTTCGATATACGTACTGCCTGCAGAACAGGCAGGCAACAGAAAGACGAACCTATGCCAAGTTTCAAAACGAAAGCTTTAAAGCTGCGCGACTAGTTTGCATAGAAACAGACAGACGGACGTGGCCATATCAAATCGGCTGATCTAGAATATATATACTTTATGGGGTCGGAGATGTCTCCTTCTATGCGTTACACATAACTTGTCCCCTTCAAGGATATAATAAATCGTCATAAATATTTTAATGTTCTTGTACTGATAAATGTCATCTTAATACGTCGTATTACTTTATAATCTATCTACTAAACAATTCTCTTAATATTTACAATATTGTATTATGACGTGCTATTAAAACAGATTTCGTCACTTAGCTCAAAAGATACATTTCACATAAATATATCTCACATCAACATCAACATAAAGTCCAACCGTAGCTATACTTGCTTTAGAAACATTACAAAATTCCATCGCCGAATCGCATTATACTTTATACTCGTAACTAGAGGAATCCTTTTTGAACTTCCAGGACAAATAACTCACTCAATCAGATCATTAATAATCTATGAATTGATCATAATAACTTAAGCTTAAATAAAATAACTTAAAAAATTGCACTAAAAAGATCTAATAATTCTATTTAACTCAACGTTATAGCAAAGAGATTATTGTATTAATATAGTAATAAATCCTAATAACTATATCACGGATCATTTATTATTCAACGCTAACTAATTCATATTTGAGTAAAGAAACCAAAAAAATGTTCATGGGTTAAGCATGTCTGATCCACAAATTTTAATTCATATTTTTATGTAAAATAGTAGATTTACAAGAAAATAAATAATTCCATTTTCCCACATTAAATCTCTTAGAACTAATAAAAATTTGAGTAAAGTAAAGCAATAGTTCTTATTAATTGAACTTCCCAATAACATAGTGCATTATTAGGGCAATATATCGTAATACTAAGTTATATTATACAATCTATAAATGAGCTGCGATTCAATTGTTGAACTAGCTATTTGACTTCATTAGAGAACAGCTATGAAAGACCTTAAATGGATCAAAAACAATCAAACCGTACTACTTTATAATGGACCAACTGTCAAAGATATCATTAATAAAGTTAATCTCACGCATTAATTCATGATTTCTATCGCATTTCCCGTTTTTGCCTAGGCCACATTACAGCTACATTTGGCCGCATTGATCTATGGCTATTTCTTATTTGTATTTCCATTATTTTTTTCTACCTCGTTTATTTTTTGTGGCTGTTGTTTTTTGTGTGTGTGTTTTGTTTCCATTTTCCCAGCTCGTTTTGCCGTTTGTTTTTTACCAAATTGTTTATTTCGCTTAACGCTTTTTTATGTGCACATTTTGTTGTTGTTGTTGTTGTTGTTATTGTCGCTTTTGTCGTTTTGTATTTCTTTATGTGCTGCATTTTCGAACCGTTAGCGTCAACATTTCTAATAGTTTTGTTGCATTTGATAAACGTAGCCGGCTTCCCTCCCCCTGCCCCGCCTGTTGTGGCAGTTGCTGCTGCTGCCCGGTGTCCAGTGCCGGGTACCGGATCGCCCCTCCCTCCCACTCCCTCTATCCTCAGCTAAAACTCGTTTCCGTCTCGCTCTGCGATTTCGCCGACGCCAACGGCAGCGCCAGTCTCTCTGTCTTGCCTCTCTTTCGCTCTACGTGTGTGCCTCAGTCGCAAACGCAGTCAAAGTGTTGCGCCCACTCCCCTCCCAACGACTCCTGTTGCCCAACCCCTGGCTAGCTTAATTTATGAAAGTTTAAATGTTGCAGGCCGTTGCATGCATTTGGTGTCGCCTGTAAATCAGAACTGCCGCTAGGTGAGTCGATTGCGAATCCAACTGGTTGCTTATAAATATTTATTGTATCTGTTTATAGATGGGATATACTTGCAGATGTACATACATATATATATATATGAGTGTGGTGTGCCACATCCTTAAGCGGCCAGTGGCTGTGTCTGTCTGAGCCACTGGCCTTATTCCAAATAAAGGAATTCCAGACACGGCTCACAGCATTTGCCCATAGAGAGTTTTGCGCTGGCTGAAAGTAGAACACGCCGGCTTGGGGTAATTGATAAAAAAAAAATACGTGCGTGCTGTTAGAAAGTAAACGCGAACAGCAGCACACAGCATACACTGTCAAAATTACGCATTTAATGAAGCACACTAACAAAAAAAAAAAAAAAAAACAGAAAAAAAAGATTTCACTCAAAATGTGTGCATTAAACGTCAACGAAATTTACATATTTAAAAATACGCCAATTAAAAATTCGCTGTAATAACAATATAAAAGAAATTTCCATAGTGCAAATCTTTCGATTAATACACTTGACAAAATTGCATAGGCTAAGCAATTATTTAGTAATCTTTACTCTGTTGAACAGTATGCCCAGACATAAAACTCACAACGCTTAAAAAAATTAGACAACTTTCTTATACATTTTATTTCGCTCTCCAATGAAAACAAACTGCTTTCCTATTAAACCACAACAATATCTTTTGCCAGTGTACAACAGTCTGCAACCCACAAAGTTGAGTAGCTGTTGATTTGAGAGTCATGCAAGTATTTTGGGGGGCTTCATTGACGGCTTCCGTCATTATTTTGATACACTCGTTAAAAGTGTGTGTGTGTGTGTGTGTGTGCCCCTATACAATTTCAAAGAAATAACTAAAGAAATCTCTGAGTAATTGGAAATTTATGGCCATTGACTGCCCGGCGAGTCATGCTTGATGCAAAGGGCATCAAGGGCTCGACTTTAAACTGCCCTGTAATAAATAATATACAAGCTGCTGCTCATATTCCATTAGACGTAACCTAATCAATCTATAACTACGAATATAATGTATATCTTAAATGGTTATGCTTTTGAATCATCTACAAAGACTTTACATTGGCTGCAGCAGGATGTGCAGATGTGATACATTATCAGAACTACTTTTCCATATAAAAACCTATAAAGTTATATAGAAATATTTTTGGCCTGATTTAATTTGTTTTCATTCATTTCTTTTAGATGACTAAATACGTGTAATCCGTGAGCATATACCATGTCCGAGAAGGTGAGCAGCGCTCTGGCGGCACAACTGCATGCGCATGCGATGGCAACAAGCTCCTCCACAGAGACTGCCACTTGCCAGCTGCAGCCAATTATTGGATCCAAGGATGCGCCGCTGCAATTCGAGACGGATGCTCCGGCGGCTGCAATCGGTGCGCAGCTAAACTTTAAGATTGTGCCAGTGGAGAGTTTGGGTGGCCTTAACTTAGGCCTTGGCAGCAGCTGCCAGGAGATGTTTGCCTCGATGAACACATCACAAATCTCAAATGCATCCACAGAGTCCAACTGCAGTCCGCCAGCTACGACAGCCGTGCCGCCACCCAAACCCAGCAGGCACATGGCCGTGCAGCCTTTGAATAGCGTAAGTAAACCCTGAACCCTCTATCGAAACTATATATATTAATCTATAATTTCTTCACAGAAATCCTGTCGTTTTCCCAAGCTGGAGGAATGCGCCCATTTTCATTATGAGCGCGTACAGCTGGGCGCCCTGTCGGTGCAGCTGCTGGACGACAAGTCGGAGCAGATGGGCAGCAGCATTGCCTCCCAGTCGATTGGCGGCGAGCTGGCGCACAGCTCGATGCGTTCGGCTGCGTTCACGCCTGAGAGCTGCTGGTTCATCATACGCGTCTGCCCTCAACGCTGTGAACCGTTCCTGATAAAGCGCAGCTACGAGAACATGCAAATGCTGGACGAGATGCTGCATCGTTGTGTCTACGACCGCAAGATTAGCGGGTTGCGCAACATGTGCGAACTGGAGGCGGATGCGCAGCTGCAGAGCGAACAGGATGTGGAATATGCGGTCGCCAAGTATTTGGAACGCTTTTCCAAAATAGCCTCCGATTCGCTGACATGCGGCACTATACTCACCTGGCTGCAGTTGGACAATAAAGGACGCCGCCTACCGCTGGCCGATGGGGAGACACAGCGTACGATCAATACGCCAGCGGTGGGCGCGGCTTATGGCGTGCGACGCTATCAGGCGCAGGCGCCGGACGAGATTAACATTGAGGTGGGCGATATGATCTCTGTTATTGATATGCCCAGCCCGGCGGAATCGATCTGGTGGCGCGGAAAGAAGTCGCATCTGCAGAAGTCCCTCTATGAGGTTGGCTTCTTTCCTCAGTCTTGTGTGGCCACTATTGGCGACAAGGTGCCACGGAATTTTCCCATGCCCGCACCGCTAGTGGGTCATCTAGATGCTTCGCCCACGAAGCCGGTGCTGCGCAAGCATGGCAAACTGATTGCATTCTTTCGCTCCTTCATATTGTCGCGTCCGTCGCGGCGTCGCCTCAAGCAGAGCGGCATCTACAGGGAGCGCGTCTTCTCTTGTGATCTGTCGGAGCATCTGCTGAACAGCGGCCAGGATATACCCATGGTGCTGCGTTCCTGTGCCGAATTCATTGAGAACTATGGCGTCATCGATGGCATCTATCGCCTCTCTGGCATCACATCGAACATACAGCGATTGCGTCGCGCCTTCGACGAGGAGCGTGTGCCAGATTTGGGTAATCCGGAGATGAAGCAGGACATTCATGCGGTCAGCTCTCTGCTGAAAATGTACTTCCGTGAGCTGCCCAATCCGCTCTGCACTTATCAACTGTACGACAACTTTGTAGAGGCTATCCAGGTGAAGGCTGACGAGGCCGACGAACGTTTGCGTCTCATGAAGGAGACGGTTTTGAAGCTGCCGCCGCCACACTATCGGTAAGTGCTGCAGGACTCAACGAGAACTTTATCTTAAAAATAAGATCTCACTTTGAGGCTAATCTTTTACTTGCTATGTCCATGCAGAGAGTAGACATAGTCGACCCTATAGATATTATTATTGACAGTCGAATCATTTAAGCTTGTCTGTGGGCTTTTATCTTTAGTCTCTCGACCTTAAAGTTACTGAAATATTATGCTTATAAAAACAATCATCCGGAGATTAAGTGGTTTTTGTGGCTAAGATTAGATATATATCGTATACCTAAATTCAACAAACAGCAATATTTGCTGGTACTTTACTTAAGTCTTATCTAAGTCGACTTTTTAAAGCCTTGATAATCGGTAAGCATGTAAATACTTGCTGTTTCTTACCTCCGGGAATATCTTGAATCTTTGGAACAACTATTTTTCTCTGGAACAATATATCTTTGGAGCAACTATAGATATCTGCAAGGGTATTTGATCTTACGTAGCCCGAAAATGTTATGAATTTATATTTGTATTTTATAATAATTCCCGTCTTCGCTTCTTTCATCTTCCCTCTTGATAGCACCCTGAAGTACTTGTCGGAACACTTGAACAAGGTATCGCAGCATCACGAACGCACTGGGATGACGGACAAGAATCTGGCGATTGTTTGGGCGCCCAATTTGCTGCGATCGCCGGCACTGGAATCTGGCGGCGTCGCTGCGCTGCGTGGCGTGGGCGTTCAGGCTGTGGTCACCGAGTACCTTATACGCAACTGTCACAACATTTTCGATGCGCTCGAGGATCATAATGCGCGCCTGAGCATAGTGGGCAGCACAGCGGCGGCGTCTGCTGCCGCCGCAGCTGCTGCAGCAGGCGAGCTGCGTCTAGAGTCGCTCACCGACTGCGAGAGCCTGCTGGTGGAGCAGCGCGAACAGGATCAATCGCTGGGTCTTGTCGAGCGACCAAAGAGCCTAAGCACCGGGGGTGCCAAGCTGATTAGCCTCGAGGAGGCGCAAGAGCGGCACTCGCGCATCGAGTGCAGCGGTGATCTAAAACAATCGCTGCCCATCAACATGATGAGCAACAGTACGGCAGGCGGTGCCGGCGGCAATGCTGCCTCCAACATTGGCTCCTACATTGAGGTGGGCGGCGGTCCCTCTAGCCTGCCAGATAAGTATCATACAGTTCTGTCTGTGCCGCGCAGCTGGCAGAAACGCAAGCCGGATAAGACGCCCTCGTGGAAGTCCATATTTACGCGCAGTCAGCGCCAAGGCAATGAGCCCGGTCACAAGCTAATCCTTGAAGGCGCCAGCAGCAAGGAGTCGAGCGGCTCATCGCGCGTCAGCTTCGTGCAGGCCTCCCACGTGCATGCCACCAAGGAGCTGTCCAAGCACGACAAACCAAAGTCCATTGAGTTGCTAGAAACTACTCGTGATGCACGCGACTCGGCGCTGGGTAGCAAGCCCATGGAGCTATGCATACGCTCCAATTCGATCGATAGTCTGCGCACGGTCGGCCATTCGCGCAGCGTCTCGCACGATTCGTACTTCGATCTGCTACAGTCGCCGCAGCGCGGCCACATGACCACCTGCCCCTCCCGGGAACTATCCGAGCTGGGACTTAACTTTGATCGCGAAGAGCCCGAAATGCGCATCTTCTCTGAGAGCGAATCGCTTGTGAGTTCGCCGCGTGTGGGCAAGGAGAATGTGCCACCAGCCTCAGGCTGTGCTACGCGTCGCATTATGCGCGCACGGCCGGAGGAGTTCTCCAGTCAGACGAACAGCGTCAATCCAAGCCCCAAGAAGCAGCCTCGTCTCAACTTGCTCTCGCCCAGTGCGGCCCGCATACTGCCGCATCCCAATCCACAACAGACCTGTGGCCATGAGCCCGCTGGTGCTGAAAACTGCTGCAAGCGTTACAAGCTGGAAGATCAGCTCTCGGACATACAGTTCATTGACTGCGGCACGCCGGAGCATCCGTTGCCCGCGCAGCAACAATTCGCCAGCGTTGAGGTGCATCCGCCGCCAAAGCCAGCGCGTGCGCAGGCGCAGGCACAGCTGCCTTCGCCGACTGGCGCCACAGGTGCAGCACGCTATAGCTATCCATCCGTGCAGCTGGGCGCTAAGCGTAAGGAGCAGCTGGCAGCCAAGGAGCGCTTCAGCTATCAAGGCACCTTTACGCAGTCGGGCCTCAAACCGGAGCCCGCTGGTACAACGCGATCCATACAGTGAGTGGTTACCATTTAATTCAAAACAAACCCATTTGACAATTTTTCTAATCCTTTTGCAGCAATGGAAACGCAACGTTGCGCGGCACAGATCAGTCTACGGTGAAGCTGCCTGTGCCCACGCCCACAACGCCGGCGCATAGTCCACGTTACTCGCTGCTGCTGTGCGACACGGAGAGCTCGGAGAATAGCTCGGCAGTGAATACGCCACAATATGATATGGAGCCGCTAATGCTTAACTCTGCCATGTCAGGCATTTCAGGCGTCTCCTCCAATGTGCAACAGCAGCCGCTGCTGCTGGGCGTAGACGCAGGCAGCAGTTATCTGGGCAGTTCACATGAGAGCCTGGGCCAGCAGGTAAGTCGGCTCGGCTTACAATTATATCAGGTTCTAATACCAATTCACATTTTACCTCTGCTTTCACAGTTCCACCAACAGCCGGAAGTGGAGCAACGCGATATGCATGCCCTGAAGCGAGAACTGTCGCTGGATTTGCAGCCGCTGCAGCCACGCCTGCCGCAGCCGGCGAACCGAGCCGCCACGCTGCCTATCAAGGAGCAGCTGCAGGCCAGCTCGCCGAACAATTCGAACTTTACGGACAACACTAGTCAATCGGTGACACCCAGCGAGTTTGGCTATCAGCATCTGCAGCGCCAGCTGAGCATGCACTCACTGTTGGCTACCGAGGAGAGTTCACCGCTCTACGAGGACTTTGAGCAGACGCCTAGCAATGCGCTGACGCCGCCAAAGCTGCTGCCCGTTGTTAACAGTCCCATCAAGTCGACCATTAGCATAACGTACAAGTCGCCGGAAAAGGAGAAGCCGCCAGCAAAGCCCGCGCCCTTGCTGGAGACGAATTTCGACGAGCACATTGTCTACGAGCAGGTGAAACTGTTTAGGAATTCGGTAACCGAGGTGAATCAGTTGCTGAATGAGCGACACGGCCAGAACCTCAAGCAGATTGAGGAGGAGGATGTCAGTGCCAATCGTGCGGCGCAAATGACTCAGCAGCTGCTGCAACTTGAACAAGACCAGGACGATGAAGAAGAAGAGGAGGAGGATCAGCGAACGCAGGATCAGCTGCTTTATGAAAACATTGAGCTGCGCAAGCCGAAAACAGTTTATGAGAATCTACGTGGCGAGGAAATGAAACTCAATACATTAGGAAACGAACTAGAGCTCGAGTCGGATTTGGATTTGGAGTCAGTGGTGAAACAGCAGCCCAGCTGTGATAGAATCGAACTGGACAGCCTGGATAGTTTGCCGAGCGTCGAACACATCAACATGGAACAACACGAACAACCCAGCAAATCGCCATCGTTCAGCGTCAAAGAGCTGGCCACCAAATTTGAGAGTTCGCCTGTGGAGCAGTTGCCCAATTTTGATTTCACACAACGCGGTGGCTCCATGAAAAAGCCAAATGAGCTGAGTCTACCCATCGCAGTTCCACCGAAGCCTGTGATGCCTGTGCCTCTCAAAAAACTCAATAAAGCGCAGAAAATTACACGTTCGTTGGACGAGAACGCCTTTGTCCGCGAGTTTGGAGGCAAGCAGCTGCAGGACTTGACAGCCTGTAAGTTGCCAGAACTGCCGGAGCTGAACAATCGCCGCAAGAGCTTTGATTTCACGCGTCCCAAGACGCTGAATCCGCCCAAGCGTTTGCCAGGCATGAGCATTACCGAGGAGATATGCCAGAAACGCGCCAATGAACCGGATGAGCCGATCACCACGCCCACCACAGAGAATCGCATCTCGCTGATACAGCAGAATAATGTGCCTGCCCGTGAGCTGCCCCAACCGAATGCAGCAGCCGCCACATTGAATCTACCCGCTGGCGGACGCAAGAGCGTCTTGACTGGCGTCATACTCGATCGCGAGCGCATCGATAAGATCAAAGAGGAGCGTCGCCAGCAGTTGACACAAAAGTACTATGGGGACACAATTAAGTCACGCTCCAAGACGGAGCTCAATTCGGATGACAATAATTTCCAGGCCCCCGATTCGATGCGCATCAAGTCCAAGTCGCGCGGTGATATGCATTCCCTGCAAAAGGACATGGACATGAATCTCAAGCAGCTGGCACGCGCTGGTGCTGGCTCTGAGAGCACACTGCATCACCCGGGCGACTTTGGCACACAACGTGTGCGCAGCATCTCCGACGAGAAGAACCAGAACTGTGATACCAGCAATGGGGCCAGCATGAATCTAGCCGTGCACAGTGTCAAGACGACAGCCCAGAAATATGCGGCCAACAATGCGCCAGTTATCACAGCGATTACGACTTCAACGATGCCAGGAAAGTTTGAGCGGAGTATCGGACGCGATCGCCCGACAAGAAACTCTATGCCCCATCCAATAACCACAGAAAGCAATGCGAGCGTCAAGTAAGTAGTTCCTATTTATATTAATGTTATAGCGTATGATGTTAATGTTATTTAGAGCAGCATAAAATATTAACAGCTTATAGTCGCTTAACATAATTCTGTTAATGCTACATATTTTAGTAGTACATTCATAAAATAATTGTTGGACCGCAAAAATCGAATGTATTTCAAAACTCTTCTTATATTTGCAGCAACAGAGAAAAGATCTCACCACAATTCTCAATACGCGATATGACTGCAATGTTCGAATCTCGTTCACAAAATCAATAGGCTTAGGCAACATCGAATACAGAATATACAGATTATATAGATAACAGAAGACACAAAAAAGGAAGAGAAGTCGAGGTATGAGAAGAAAAAGGAGCGGCCGCGTTATATAGCTTATTTAGATTGTAAAATTCTATATGTTAAGAGCATATTTCGAGAGCACATGCAAATACGTGTCTATTTCTATATATATACATATATATATATATATAGATATTGGATTCTGGACCATGCGGCACCAAAGACATAAAACACAAACAAAATCGCCGCTGGATGATATAGAGCAGAGCAAAATTCAATTTTGTTTTCAAGATGGAGCTCGAGGTAGAGTTTCGAGTGAATAACTAACTAAAAAGACCCAGCGCCAAATGCAAATTGTTATTGCATTGGGCGATCGTAGGTGTTAAGTTTATATTTATATATTTGCATATATATACATATATATGGATTCTCGTTTATTTGTATAATTATTGCATTTCACTTGACTTGATTTCGGTTTGTTTTATGTGTGATTTGTTTCATAAATGTTGATTGAAAAATTAAGAAGGCAAAAAAAAAAAAAAATTAAATTAAATGTGTAACTAGAAAGCGCTGAGTTTTTCTTAAAATTAAGCTTAATTTAAATTTATGCATTTCGACGCAACTTTGAGTGAGTTGCTTTAAGTATATTATTATTATGCGATTTATTTATATATATTTTAACAAAAATCACAAAGTTTATAAAATAAATACAAATTCGATTTACTATGAACTATTTTTATTTAAACTTAAATACTTGTAAATACTCAATGCTTGCTTGTTCTAAATGCGCTACGCGGCTTGCAAAATATGGCAAAATGAAAAGAAGAGCAAATTAACTAAAGATTTCTTATTGTACAATAGAAAAGTGCTACGAAACACGGGCCTAACAAATCTGTCAGAAATCTAAAATAAATTCAAAAGATATGCAAATTATCTCCAATCAAAACGTTATTATTCTTTCTTTCGTTTGTGTTTATCTAAATATTCTATCTAGAATAGACCTGTGTAGAACCTGGTAGCTTAACACTTTGAAAACAATGGTTGTTCATAGGCTAATTATGGTTACAGTTCGCTATGAAGAGAACAATAGTATAAGAAATATCCGAATAATTTTATAGTGTATTTGACAAATTTTTCAACATCAAACAGGTTTTCGGAGCTTTATAAAGCCGCTTGAGTATGCCTAATTTATGGGCACTGCCGAGAATCTCGTTGACAATCAAATGGGAATTCTTTTTAAAGACAGATTTTTTAGACCCGCATAAGGCACGCGCGTATATATTTATTGTATAATAAAGCTTTCCTATTCATTAAAACTATAAAGACCAACAATAACTAAATGAAATCAACAGAAATTAACTAAACGCTAACTTATTGAAATTAGATACGATCTATAACCATTTAGAATACTTAACCAGTGTGGTTTATATTAAATTTTTACTACTAGTTAAATTTCAGCTAATCAAATTTTTATAAAAATGAACTTGCATAACAAACTTTAATTTAGTCGTCCTGACCCAGCTGCCAAATTTTTACTGAGCATTGAAAAAAAATCGAAAAACTGTTAATCCAAACAGATTTATAATACAAACAATAACTAAATAGAAAGCTTTAAAACAGATAAGTTAGCATTTGATATATTTTGATAAAAGAACATAATAATTATAAATCCGCAACTTAGTTATAAATAATTGTATTGTATAATGACTGACAGCTGAAGCGGAGCAAATGAAAGCGAAAAGCACTTGCGAAATGATTTGAAGTACATTATTTGCATATACACAAATATATTTATTATACAAGCGCATTACCATAAATGAATATATATATATATATATACATTTATTATAAAGGAAACTACTCATTGAATGCATATTTAACAAACAATCAATAGCTGCAGGCTAATTTGAAACAAACACAAGCAACTATAACAATAAACAAATAATTTAATACATATTAAAACAAATATATTTAAACGTATAAACTCTTTTCATAGTGGTATATGTGGGTATATTATGATATATAGTCGGGACCTTCTCGAGTTTGTGTATAATTTATTTTTAATTGGCCCGGCAACAAAAGTCACCAGGCACACGAAAAATTCAATTTAGACTCATTAGAGTGCTCCTCTCCACGGAAATCTTTAGTAAAAGGCGAAAGATTTATTCGACAACTGAAGAGAAGCCAGAGTGAATTCACCGAATTAAACACCTTGACTCTACCTCAAGCAATGCTTGAACTAGTTGTGAATTATATGATTGAAGTCGCACCTGAAGAGCCCCTAAAGTAGGCAACAGTGTAGACAGCCCTACCCCTAAGTAGGCACCACTAACCTCTCACACGTGTCTCGCTTATACTTCGCAACTGGTTTTAGCTGTGGCTACATAGAGGCCTGGGTATTCATTGATGGCAAGTTATCGCTTCTCGGCCTTATGGCTAAGATCAAAGTGTAGTATCTGTTCTTATCAGCTTAACATCTGATAGTTTCTCCATTGGAGAACAACAAATGTTAAACTGATTTTTGGAATCAGACGGAGTGCTAGGGGCTTGCTCCACCTCTGTCACGGGTTGGCCCGGCATTGCAGTATCGCCGGGACTTCGGCCCAACTGAATAATAAATTTCAATTTGTTTGTTTAGAGCTTGACTCTCTACAATAACTCGTGTCTTTGTTCTCAGTTTGAGTTCATAAAGGGCTGTTGAGTTCCCTCTATTATATATTTTTTTATTAACTGAGATATATTGAACCAGCCCGCTGTGAGCGGGGCGGGTTAAAAAGGACAACACGTGAGAAAACTAATTTGATTAAATTGCCACAGAAACGCTCAGCGTGAGACGCTGCTTTGAATGACAATGGCTCTACCTCTATCGCCTTATGAAATCATCATCAGCCAGACGACAAAGGCATAATATAGCTGGCTACTTAACGGCGAAAGGACACGAAGGGCAACAGCAGCAGCAACAACCACCCGAACAGGTAGCTAAGGGCCGCTGAGTGAGTATATACCATAAATATATATAAGGTATATATGCGGGTTGTTTGAAGAATGCACTAAATGCTGTGCATAAGTGTGAAAACGTTTGCATCCTGCTGCGCTTCCTAGGGCCCATACCCTTACACCCCTGTGCACACTGTTTTGCCTTGATTGACGCTGATAGGGCACGTGTTGGCAATTATTTGAGCATAAACATGAAAAGCTTCTTCTGGTCAAATCAGATGACTTCTTGTTGAGCACGCCAAACAGGCTTTCACTTAGCGTGACTTACAGACTGCCTTAACATTTTCGCATCATTAAAATTTGGCCAGAAACGTTTATTAAAAAAATATTAAGTTCGTGAAGTTCAAGAGCTAGCCATTAATCGCTTTGCTTTAATTAATTAAAATTAAGTTTTCCAAATAAAAAGTATATATGTAACCTTATGTTCCTTACCATATCCAATATAATACAGATTATTGTCAACATCGGATGACTATATCTCAAAGTAATAGCTTACAATATGTAGAATAGATATTTATCTTTTTTAGTATATATATAAATATATATATCTATATACTAAATATATATATCTAAATATTTTCGACTTGTATTACACACTTATTATCTACTTTTCGCCTAGAGTTCGCAAAAGATCGACTAGCTTTAATTGTTGGCTCTTTGATTGTGCGCCTAGGCTACATTTAAATATAAAATATGCTCAAAGTGGGCCTTGCCACGCCCTTAAATGTTGGCCAAACCCTCCACGAAACCCCTTTAGTTAACAATAGAAAATATTTGGTAAATCAAATTTTATGACAATTACGCGCTGCAAATTAAATCAAATAGCACAAGGCCGACTCAAACAAATATATCAAAATAACAAAATATATCTGTGTTCGGGGTGCTGATAAAATCATTGAGAAAATGCCAGCAAATTACAAGCTGCCACTTTCCCCGCCCTACCCCGCACCCCACACACACACACACTCATGTGCACATATTTCGATGTAATTTAATATGTGGCACGCGTTTGGCAAACTTTTTTTTTTTATTTTTCGTATTTGTTGGTGGCAGGACGAGCAGGATATGCTCTGGCGCTCGGCTCTGCGGCTCAATTGTTGCCAATGAGAGCAATTGTGTTGTGCTGCAGCGGGAACGTGAACGTTGTCGGGAGGGTGGCGGCGGGTTGGAGGGGGGGGTTCGGAGTAGGTTGAACTGGTAATTGCATTTGTTACTGCTCTAATTGTTTGGGCGGACGGCAACCGGGCAAAAGGTTACTGTGCCTTGGATAACAACAAGAGGCTTTTAATAAGCAAAACCCCGTCGTAGCCGAAGTCCTGGAACTCCTGCAACTGAAAAGTGGCGCGGAACGTGGAAAAACTTTGACTCAGTGCAAGGGCGGACAAATGGTCCCACCCGGCTATTAATTGACAACGCTTCCATTGCTTAAATGGAGAACCTACAATTAGGAATATGTGAAATTAATGGAAGCGATTCAATTGCTGTATAATATAATTAAGGAGATTATTCATAAACTGATTTTAACAGCCCCATCTAGCATAAATTTCGAGTTTATTATTTCCAAGCAAAACTAATTGATATGTGTGTCTAGGAAGTATGAGAATTTTCCCACTGGGCTTCAAGAGTATTGAATTAAGGAAAACGTGCCGGGGAAAATTGTTTAGAAGAAATTCCAGATATGAAACAATTTAAAACTAAACAATATATGTTATAACCACAAGGCGTCATCTCTGACCCTATTAAGTATTTCTGATAAATATCAGCTGACGACTTGATGAAGTCATGGCCGTAGTCTACCGCTCCCTACATTTGTCTAAGTGTGTTGATTTAAGACGTTAGAGGCGCTTTATAATTTAAATTTAGAAGGCAGGTTTCTGGCAAGGCATAAATACATCAAGTATAGTATAATTTATAGATAACTCCCACACATATCCCCAAAGTCTATAAATGTTGATAAAAAGTCGAGTTATTATATGATATATCCCGCAGATTAATCACCTAGATAATCTAAATTTGGTGCTTAGGTTCTCGTAAAGCATACTCAGATTATAAATATTTTTCCTTTTAAAAACATCGACGCTTTTAAAGAATTTTGATGAAATCACCTTATTTTTAAATGTAATGTATAAGAATTAATGTACAAAGAGCTTAGGAATGAATTTCAAAAGAAGGTATTTTAAAAAAAAATATTTATTTTTTATGTATATTCAATTATTTGATATCCGAACAACGATAAATTCTAAAGATCAACATCTTGGGATATAATCATATTAAAAAAAAAACACATAAATAACAAACCCTTATTGAGCCTATAAATTTAATATCAGGGAAGTGCCGCCTTTGACCTCAAAGCAAGGATGTTGCCACTTGTGGCGCGGTCCTTTGGCCCTGGCATAAACAAAGTACCCCTAGCTAACTGAATACTGTATACTTAAGTTTATGTTGCTCGTTTCAGAAGTTAATTTACCGAGAATCAAACTCAAATGCGGATGCTGCAATCGAGCATCTGAGAAGCCGCCGTCTGTAACCTGATCTTTGACACACTTCAGCTTTGATTTCAGGGAATTACAATACGAAAAAAAAACAGAAGGTAATGAGAGGACGTCGCATCACAAAAGGATTTGCCATGCAAACTGACACAAAATGTTGTAATTGCCAGAAGACAGACATCGGGCGTCGAACATCCTCCCTCTCCAAACCGCAAAGTGCCCTTGCAATACGATGCCTGATTTTTATTATTATAAAAATTAGGCTTAGCACGTCTGACGGGCACGTGCAACTCCATCGATTCAAATGGGATTCCACAAAATATTTCCAAACGTTGATTCCTGTGCCGCAACTACACAGACCATTGGAAGTTCTTGAGTCTGTTGGGCAGACCTTTAAACATGTATATTTAACACATGCTGCAAGCTGTTCCACACGTTCACGTCAAATGTGAAAACAATGGAGCCGAGGCACTGAAGATGTCAGTTCCGGGGCGCACTTTAAGTGCCACCAACAAGCAGCTTGTGTTCGTTACTAAGGACCCCAGTAGACAGCCAACGCCCACGCTTCAGTTCACGCCCACAATGCAGGCTAAAGTTACCTGTAACTAAAAATAATGCCCAAAGATTTAGCTAAAGCGACTTAATTGCATGTCACAATTACACTGTACGAAATTAGGTAAGTACTGGAAATTAGAGTATATTTTTCATATAGCCTTTTTTTTTATTAACAGAAAGGAAGTTTCAAAAAAAATATACGAAATTTGTCGGATGACAAAAATTGTTTTAAATTCTCAAGCAATTCTAGCCAATGCTTCGCCTTATCTTCCAGGTCTTAGAATACAGCTTTTACTTTAAATGTTTGGTAGCTTACTCTAGTTTGCAATATTTACGTGAAACGCATGTTGAATATTTCGAGTTTAACATAAACAATTTTAATGATATAATTTAAAAGCTCTTATTATTATCGATATTTATATTATTATTATTATTAGTACTACTTTAATTATTAATTTTCTATCATTATTAGCAATGTTTATTACCAATATTATTATTATTGTTATTATAATTATAATAATTTTTATTAATATTGTTATTTTAATTAAAATTATTATTGTGACTATTACAAATATTATTAATATTGTTATTATTTTAAAATATTTAATTTTTACTTATATAATTTTATTTTTATTACTATTTATATTGTTTACCATTTTGTGTATTTGTTTATTTCGACAAATTCAAGTCAATAATATTTTTAATGAGCGAATATTATTTTTTCTTAATTTTGTTAATAACCGAAAAGATTCCGACTTAGACCAAACTGGGCTGTAACCTTGATTTATATATAGTTTATTGGCGAAGGAAGAAACACTGCTATTATATGTCACCTCTTTGATGTCAGTGTAGTTGTCAGCACAGTTATGCTCTCATACTCCATATAGACACTCGCGCATGTGTGTGTGTGCATACATACGTACATCTAATGCGTCCGCTTTAGGGCTTTAACCTAATAATGACGTTCGACTTACTTTGCGTGACTTATTTTATTAATAAAACGAGCAAATTTGTCTTGCTTTTTGGTCGCATCCATCGCACACATACACACACGCGCAGTATGCTAGTATTCTAGCCAGCTCGTTGCCGTCGTTATTGTTTCTCACAGGCGCACACACACACACGCGCATCCCCAAGACCCCAACCCTTAAAGAGCTGCCCCATTGCCATAGCGTTGCTGTGCGTGGGATAAGGACAAACAGCTGCTTGTTGCGGCAACCCCAGAGAGGAAATCGCTCTGATTGGCTACAGCAGGACGCCAGGACACACCCCCTGCGAGGTGGTCTTGTGGGCTGCTGCTGTCTGGGTGGCTTGTGTAAGGCTATGCCAAATTATTGAATTACGGCCAAGTATTTTTTTTGCCTAATTGTCAGGGCTTAGAGACGGTCTAGAACAAGAGCTACGGGCGGCTCGGTTCAGGGGGTAAATATTTGAAAGCTCCAGGCTAACGCGTATTATACCTACATTACACTCAATAAATGGTGATGGTGGTACAGTTGTGCATGCATGCGTTTTTCTTCTAACAATCAGCTGTGTGCCATATTACTCATACGCCGCGTTGACAGCTTGCCTGCCCGTCCGTCCGTCTGTCTTGTTATCTATCTGTCTGGGTAGCTAACAGGCGCACAGTTGCGCCATCAGTCGATAAATTAATTATAATAATTGTGGCATTTAATGAATTTAATGCATGCACAACACAATGGCGGCCATGACACGTTAATTATGGGCAAAATGGCGGCTGCAGTCGGCGTCGACGTCAACGCTAGCAGCGACCGCAACTGCGAGCGAGTTATTTGCGGTTAACATAGGCCAATTAAACTTAGCAAGTGCATAACCATAACACAGTTAAAAGCCAACATATCAGAGTACTATATACGCACGTATATATATGTATATATATATCTGTGTATATATATTTGTACATATATAGTTTTATAGGTAAAATGCCAGCATTATGGTCCGAAATCAAGCGGTGCAAATGGCTAAATTGCATTCTGTTGTCATTGTCCTTTGTGCGAGGGAGACAACCATATAAGCTACACATGCAAATGGGGGTGTGTTCATATATATATATATATATATACACATATATATATATATACATATTTTTGGGTGCCTCTAAGCGACAGCGAACCGCAACTGCATTGCCCGCTTTTGGGGGTGGGCTGTGCTGTGCTGTGCTGTGCCTCGCGTTGCCGTGCAGCTCGAGCATCGCCTGGAGCATCGCTTAGAGCGATTTGCTGGTTGATGTGCGGTGATTGCCGCAAACTCAACGCGACCGTCAACGAGTAAACAACATAAGCGCGACGGCAGCGGCAACGGCAACGGCCAGGACATACCAGGACACGGCGCAACGCAAGCAGGACATGTCAACGCTTAATGAGAACAGCATCAGCCCAGTTGCAACTGCAGCAGCAGCAGCGGCGGCGGCAACGGCGACGACTGTTGCCAGCAGTAAGAGTCCCGCCACAACGACCACAATGCTAACCACAAAAACGCCATTTTCGATTGAGCATATATTATTTCAAAATTTAAATAGTGCCAGCAACAACCACACCACCAACAACAGCAACCACAGCAATCATAGCAACAACAACAGCAGCAGCAGCCACAATCAAAAGTGCAACAAATATACAGTGAAAAGTGCCAGATGCAATTCTAGTGCCAGCTCCATATCCATATCAAATACCTTATCCAGTGCCGGTGCCAGTGCCAATGCATATGACAATAACCGATATACAACAAATCCAACGACAGCGACGGCATCGACACGCCCAACAAACAGCCCAACGAACCACTCGGCGTCGGGTTATCCCAGCGAGGATTACGTCAAGTCCATGCACAGTCAACGGTTAGTGTCAAATCTGAAAAGATTTTACAATTTATATATGCACGAATTCTGTAATTCAATTCGGGTTCCATTGCTTAATCTAAAAAAATCTATAAAATTAAAAACAAGTTTAAATCCAATATATTGTCTCGCTAAAATTGGTAATACTGAAAAAAACCCAACGCTATCGGGTCGTGCTTATATTTTCCTCTTAACAAACTTTGAATTTATTTTCGAATTTTAAGCAAATATGTAGGAAGTCTTATTAGGAGCGATTCGAAAATATAATGGATAAGGTATTACATTTTAGGATTCCGTTAAAAGCACAATTCAATTTTAATTTTATGTTTTTAATTTTTTCATCAGCTTACAATGAAAACCTTTACAACAAATGAGCTTCTTCAGTTTTGGTTAAATTTTTTTAATTCAATTCAATTTAATATATAATTCGATTTGGTTTCCATTACCAAGACTTAAATAGTTTATCAAATTAAGAATACGGTAAATATAATATTTCTCGTGGCTAAAATTGGTAATGCTAAATTTATGTTGATGTCGCAGAGCCATGTATATATCTTGCCTTTAGCAAATTTATAAATGTTTTTAAGGTCTTCAGCAAATATGTAGAAGCTCTTGGAAAATCTTATGCAGAAATGAAAAAGAAAATATAATTGGATTAAGATTTAGGATTATGTTTAAAGCGCAATTGATTTTTAAATTGATTTTTCAATTTTTCAGTCAGAAATTGTTAGCTTCCAATGATTATTTCCACAACAAAAAGCGTTCTTCAGTTTCAGTTAAAATGGGATAATTTTACAATTTTTAAATCAATTTAATTAGATATCGTTTTTATCTCAATATCTAACGATGAGAACTACTAAGAATCCAAGTTTTATCATTTGAAATTTCCTATATATTCAATATCTTACGATCCGAACAACTAAGAATCCAAGTTATATGATTCCTTCTTATCTTATATTTTTAATATCTCACGATCCGAACTACTGAGGAACCCATGCTTTATCATTTAAGTTTTTCAACAAAAATAAATGACTGTCTTCTAAAAATCGTTAGTTATTAAAGAACAATTATAAAATAATATATATGCTGCGATTTAATATAAAAAGTATATGAATATATATTTAAAATAAATAAAATAACTACCCTTGCAGACATATATCTTATATTCGTAATGTTCCTATAGCTATTTACTCACAGATCTTTTCATATAAAAACTGATTTTCCTGCAAAGTGTGCTTTAAAGAACTAAATGATGTATTCATCAAATTTGGCCAACTTTTCCTTGTGAGGAGCCTGAGGCAAAAAGTTTCTTCAAAATAACTTCAAAACTTAGAGACATATTTGTATTCCTCGACGAGATCAAGTATATTGACATATCGTGGATATAATTAAGTAACTAATTAAGTAATTAACCAAGGGAAAAGGATATACTATGGGCCTTATGAAATGATAGTTGATACATGTTCAGATATTCAATTCAACCTCGAGTTTTCTTAGCTATACCTATAAAGTTTTTATTAAATACAACTATAAGATACTTTTATTTGAATGGATTGGTTATTCTTATAGCTTACATTTGAAGCCTTGATAATGGAAAATCATGCCACATTCAAAGGTTTTCTTTAAAGATAAAATAGCGAGAATCTAGAATCCCAAGCGAGGTTATGCATTTAGTAAGATCCAAGCTGAAATTATAATGCTTTTGATTATAAATAAGGATAGTACGGGTAGATAGAAATATAGATAATGCGATTGATTATTCACCTTTTAACTACAAACTCGCAACTATAGTGCACATCATCAGCAACGGGCTGCTGCAGCCCACTATGCCCACTCGAGTTCTGGGCCAACTGCCGAGCAAATGACATCTGCGGCTGCAACAGCACCACCTGCTCCACCGGCGCCACCACCGCCGGTTGCGTCAAGTGGTCCGAGTGGTGTGCTTTATCCAAATGCTGGCTATGGCGATCATGGGTTCTTGCAGATGACACTGGGCTATCTGTCGCCATCGTCGGGCACGTACAAGTCAGTGGATCCCTACTTTTTGTCCCAAGGTACGTTCGTGTCAATGGCCATTAGCAACACCCGAAACTTTTGTCGGGAAAAGTGCACGACTCAATTATGGAGCACAAAACTCTGTGCGTGTAATGCAATTAATGTGAAGCTCACTTTTGCAGCCAGCCTTTTTGGAGGAGCGCCCTTCTTCGGGGCGCCCGGCTGTGTGCCGGAACTGGCCCTCGGCCTGGGCATGGGCGTGAATGCATTGCGGCATTGCCGGCGGCGCAAGGCGCGCACCGTGTTCAGTGACCCGCAGCTGTCGGGTCTGGAGAAGCGTTTCGAGGCGCAGCGATATCTGTCGACGCCGGAGCGCGTCGAGCTGGCGACGGCGCTGGGTCTGAGCGAGACGCAGGTCAAGACGTGGTTCCAGAATCGTCGCATGAAGCATAAGAAGCAGCTGCGACGACGCGACACGACCAATGGTAAGTGGACAGCAGCCAGTTTTCTTGGGCAAACTTTTCTTTGTAGAACTTTTTGGCACTTTCATGCTTTTGGCCAATTAGCCTGCTGCCTTTTGATGAAAGTTTTCTTAAAGTTTTTGGCCCAAATCAAATTAGTTGTACAATTTTTGGCAAATTTGTGCCCGCAGAACCCGTTGACTTCTCACGCACCGAGCCGGGCAGCAAGCAGCAAGGCGATGCCATCACCAGCCTAGCAGCGGCCTCCACAGATTCCAAGTCCAAACTGTCATCGGGCTTGGATCAACCGGCCACTAGTCAGCAGCAGCAGCTGCAAATGTGCTTCCTGCAGCATGGCTACTCCACGGATGACTATTCCGATCTGGAGGCGGACAGCGAAGATGATGATAATTCCAGCGATGTGGACATTGTGGGAGACTCGAAGCTATATCAGCTAACATAGGCCGTAAGTGGGTGAACATTGTCAATAAATAGACCAATTATAACAGTTAGTGTGCAAAAAATACCAAACAATATAAAAAATACCACATTCTCGTCAGTTTGAGGTTACACAGTTTATTATTTTATCTCATATTTAAAACATACCTGATATCCACAATCAATAGCCTAACATACTATCAGATAAATCACTATTTTCTTTATACTTGGTATTTTTCTTGGTATATTTTGACACTTTTGTTAATTTTTTAGGTATCTTTTTGTTTTGTTGGTATTTTTGTGCACAATTTAACGTAACACGTTGCAAGTCTGTAAAATATACCACAAAATACAAAAAATACCAATGCAAAAAGAAGCTATAATAACTTTTCTTTTTCTAAAAATTTCATATGTCTCAGAAAGCTTTCTCTTAATAATTCAATAATTAAGTTATTTGGTATTTTTGTTTAATTTTTTCCACATTTTTCTCAATTTTGTTGGTATTTTAGTGCATAACACTCAACATTTCGAGTCTATACAATTAAAGTTATAAATCTGTAAATAATGATCACAATACGATCTCTCAATTGAGCGCCAGGTCTAGTCACAGTTACATTTAAGCTAAGTATATACACATATACATATATACATTAAAATATTATTATTAATATTTTAAATATAGTGATTGTATTCGAGTACTTCCATTTTAAGAACTCTCTCCCTATCTCTCGGCGAGTATGTAACTCTCTTCATAGTTATATTGATGTGTTAGCCAGCTTAGTATTAATGCTTTCAATAAAAACTCATGTGAAAATGGATCTTAAAACTTAAAACTTTCTTGCCTCCATCGAGTTCATGGGGGCGCGTCCCGTCGAGCAATCAAATCCAATTGAGGACCAACAAAAAGTAGGCACTAATCAGGTTAAACTGCGACATTTCCATAGGGTTGAAGTATTATGGCCATGGCCATGACTATGGCTGCGGCCACGCCCACTTCCCCCATACGTCCACACGCCTGGCGCATGGCCATGTGGGCGTATGGGCGTGTGCCGAGGGTGAAATACTCTGAAGTGCTCTTAACAATGGCAAAATAATTGCGGGTTATTAGCAAGCCATTTAGTGAGACACTTTGTTGCCACTCGCAGCACAAAAGTGGTTGAATACTTCCAATTGACTTGCAATTGTGGCTACCAGTACCGGAGTTCCGGCGTGCTTACAACTTCCCCCATATGTTTGCCGTTAAGGTAAGTACATTTTAATACCGTCTCATCTGTCTAAGATTTACACTAAGATGGTTTATCAGCGAAAGACTAATTTATATAAAATTATCAGCTAAGGAAATCCTTTTTAAGAATAAGAAATTGTATATAGATTTATACTTCTAGGATAGAGATGGTAAAGTATATATCTTATACGTATATCATATTATCTGAAAGAGATCTATTTATAAAGTTCTATAAGCTAAGAATTCCCTTGGAATAAAATCTTCAATTGGTATGTTGCGAGCTTATGAATATAGATATAAAGCAAGAATATTCAATTGCTTCAAATCGCTTAAACATATATCTTATATCTTATATTATATCGTATGTCTCCGATTTCGATAAACTTCGTAACTTTCTAACAGATATACGTGAAGAGCTTGAATCGTATAGTATTCAATTTCGAAACAAAATATATCTAATAATACCAATTTATACGAAAACTCTTTCAACTAATTATGCTGCGAAGGTTCTTTCACTAGAATATACAGCTTAAATATTTAGTATCTGAATATAATAGAATAGAATAGAATAGAATAGAATAGTATTATTCCTAAATCTATATAACACATGTCCTACTCTAAAATGGGCAAATATAACATTTAAATTAATATTAAACGTAATTTTATTTATTTATACAAGCATCTTTACATTTTGGACGTCAACGATTCAAAGTGCACAGTTCTATAAAAACAAAAACATATTTCTTTATCAATTTTATAGCTAACTAAGTTGCGCGTGTTTTTATTTGTATTATTTTTTAAAACTAGCCGTAATCAGTCACATATTGACTAAAAGCGAGAGTAGTACGAAACGAAAGGGCTGCTTTAATAAAACACCCAAAAACATATAAATAAATAATTATAAAGCACTTATCTGTCGGGAATGTGAATGTTATCAAGAGTTGTGGCGTTTGGTTAAAACCTCAAATCGGAGTCGAGCCTCCACACAAATCAACTGGCGGCGAAAAAATTTGTGGCTAATAAGCATTACGTTGGGTAAGTGTATACAGGGTGTTTATGTAATGTATATTTTCTTATCTATGAAAACCAACTAGAAAGACTGTTAGCGAAAATTGCAAAAAATTTAATTTTATTTTTTATACCCTGAACCTATTAAAAATGGGTATAAGGGTATATTATATTTGTGCGAAAGCCAAATGTATGTAGCAGGCAGAATGAAGCAACTCCGACCGCATAAAGTATATATTTTCTTGATCAGCATAAATAGCTGAGTCAATCTAGCCATGTCCGTCTGTCTGTCCGTCCGTCCGTCCGTTCGTATGTATGAACGCAAGGATCTCAGAACCTATAAGAGCTAGAGAACTTTTAGACGTAGATGCTCCTAGCTCCCCAAGCTCTTCATTTTCATAAAGTTTGGCGTATTCTTCATGGGTTTCCCTCTAGATTAATCTGGCATTCAAATATGAACAGCGATTTTTAGTTGAAACTCATGTCCAAATCTTACCCCAAGATTCGTATATAGACATGGGTCAAAATTTACCACCCCCATAGCTCGGTCAAATCTCATCCGATTTTCATAAAGTTTCAATTTTACTTCATGGTTTTCCCTCTAGATTAATCTGGCATTCAAATATGAACAGCGATTTTTTGGTCGAAATTCATGTCGAAATCTTACCCCAATATTCGTATATACCCATGGGTCAAAAATTACCACCCTCATATCTCGGTCAAATCTCATCCGATTTTCATAAAGTTTCAATTTTACTTCATGGTTTTCCCTCTAGATTAATCTGGCATTCAAATATGAACAGCGATTTTTTGGTCGAAATTCATGTCGAAATCTTACCCCAAGATTCGTATATACCCATGGGTCAAAAATTACCACCCTCATATCTCGGCCAAATCTCATCCGATTTTCATAAAGTTTCAATTTTACTTCATGGTTTTCCCTCTAGATTAATCTGGCATTCAAATATGAACAGCGATTTCTTAGTCGAAATTCATGTCTATATAGACATGGGTCAAAAATTGCCACTCCCATAACTCGGTCAAATCTCATCCGATTTTCACGAAGGTTGGCTTTTTCTTCATGGTTTTCCCTCTAGATTAATGTGGCATTCAAGTCTCGACACCGATTTTTTGGTCGAAATTCATGTCCAAATCTTACCACAAGATTCGTATATAGACATGGGTCAAAATTTACCACCCCCATAACTCGGTCAAATCTCATCCGATTTTCATAAAGTTTCAATTTTACTTCATGGTTTTCCCTCTAGATTAATCTGGCATTCAAATATGAACAGCGATTTTTTAGTCGAAATTCATGTCCAAATCTTACCCCAAGATTCGTATATAGACATGGGTCAAAAATTGCCACTCCCATAACTCGGTCAAATCTCATCCGATTTTCACGAAGTTTGGCTTTATCTTCATGGTTTTCCCTCTAGATTAATGTGGCATTCAAATCTCGACACCGATTTATTGGTCGAAATTCATGTCCAAATCTTACCCCAAGATTCGTATATAGACATGGGTCAAAATTTACCACCCCCATAGCTCTGTCAAATCTCATCCGATTTTCATAAAGTTTCAACTTTACTTCATGGTTTTTCCTCTAGATAAATCTGGCATTCAAATATGAACAGCGATTTTTGGTCGAAATTCATGTCCAAATCTAACCCCAAGATTCGTATGTAGACATGGGTCAAAATTTACCACCCCCATAACTCGGTCAAATCTCATCCGATTTTCATAAAGTTTCAATTTTACTTCATGGTTTTCCCTCTAGATTAATCTGGCATTCAAATATGAACAGCGATTTTTTGGTCGAAATTCATGTCGAAATCTTACCCCAAGATTCGTATATACCCATGGGTCAAAAATTACCACCCCCATATCTCGGCCAAATCTCATCCGATTTTCACGAAGTTTGGCTTTTTCTTCATGGTTTTCCCTTTAGATTAATCTGGCATTCAAACATGAACAGCGATTTTTTAGTCGAAATTCATGTCCAAATCTAACCCCAAGATTCGTATATAGACATGGGTCAAAATTTACCACCCCCATAACTCGGTCAAATCTCATCCGATTTTCATAAAGTTTCAATTTTACTTCATGGTTTTCCCTCTAGATTAATCTGGCATTCAAATATGAACAGCGATTTTTTAGTCGAAATTCATGTCCAAATCTTACCCCAAGACATGGGTCAAAAATTGCCACTCCCATAACTCGGTCAAATCTCATCCGATTTTCACGAAGGTTGGTTTTTTCTTCATGGTTTTCCCTCTAGATTAATGTGGCATTCAAGTCTCGACACCGATTTTTTGGTCGAAATTCATGTCCAAATCTTACCACAAGATTCGTATATAGACATGGGTCAAAATTTACCACCCCCATAACTCGGTCAAATCTCATCCGATTTTCATAAAGCTTCAATTTTACTTCATGGTTTTCCCTCTAGATTAATCTGGCATTCAAACATGAACAGCGATTTTTTAGTCGAAATTCATGTCCAAATCTAACCCCAAGATTCGTATATAGATATGGGTCAAAATTTACCACCCCTATAACTCGGTCAAATCTCAACCGATTTTCATAAAGTTTTAATTTTACTTCATGGTTTTCCCTCTAGATTAATCTGGCATTCAAATATGAACAGCGATTTTTTAGTCGAAATTCATGTCCAAATCTTACCCCAAGATTCGTATATAGACATGGGTCAAAAATTGCCACTCCCATAACTCGGTCAAATCTCATCCGATTTTCATAAAGTTTCAATTTTTCTTCATGGTTTTCCCTCTAGATTAATCTGGCATTCAAACATGAACAGCGATTTTTTAGTCGAAATTCATGTCCAAATCTAACCCCAAGATTCGTAT